ACATATCCACATTTTCTACTAGTCTTGCACCTCAAGATGCATCTCGAAGATACGTATTTATTACTCTTTTATACATAATAGGACAGAGAATACTAAAAAAAGGTAAATAGGAGATTGAGGTGGCTTGCTCAAAATCATAAAAAACCCAGAGAAGAAAAAGCTGGAGGCCCTAATTTTCTGTCTGTGGTGAGTATCCAAACTGCACACAATATTGTGCAGACACCCAAGCAATCAGGCTCAGTCTCCCACCTTTCCCAGCTTCCCAGGGGTATCCTCACCAAAGAAAATGTTTTGCCTCCTTTCACACCCCAAAATCTGTGACATTTGAGATATCCCCATGGGAAGCATCCCCCACTGCAGTGAATATGTTTGTCACTACTTTATAAAGCTGGTGATGCTGTCAAACCAGAACAGCTCTCTTCTTCTGCCATGATGTATTTAGACAGGAATAATAATTTATCTATCATTATACCCATCAGGGTGGTTATCTACAGGGACAGATAATTTTGTTCTGTTGCCTACATAATTAAGGAACACTTCTGGCAGCAAAGAGATCCCAGCTCACATCTTTTCTTACTGAGACTCTATAATCTCATTACCATCTTGAGGATTTTGGTGTCAGAACCATTTCAGGGACTCCAAAGCTCCATTCTGACCCTGCTGCAGGTTAAGGGATCCCACTGAGCACCACCTCCACTGCCAGGTTGTAAATCAGACCTCAAAACTGATCCCTGTTAAAAATAATCTCCCCAAAATAGAAGAGAGAAGGAGTAAGGGTTACCAGGGTTATTTTTGAGCTGGGCAGGCTCAATGCTCTGATTGACCCTGGGGAGCCAGAGGAGGTTTGTCTGGCTGGGCTGGGTGGCACAGGGAAGGGGTGCCTGTGGGCACAGGGGATGCTGAGCTGCCTTTGAGGCTCGAGCCAGAGTGTGGCAAAGCTCAAGGACACCACTCAAAAACCATAATAAAACCATTCAGCAGCTGTGGGAGTGGGAGATTCAAAATAACTACAATGGAGCAGTGTAATAAAACTTCAAGTGAAACCAAGAGACCTGCAGACAACATCAGCATCACTTCTGCCACAGGCTGCAGTCATTCCTCTGGTATTTTGCCTTTCAATACCTAATACTCTGATTCTACTACTTTCTAAATACCATTTTTCTGAATTTAGTATGGTATTTTCAAGAGACATCTTCCTCAGCTGAAAACAGATAAATTAAAAATAGGTAGCTGTAAATCCTGTTCAGCTATTTTGAATATTTCATTAAAACCAGAGAATTATAAATGGACTGTGACCCAAAGTAAATAGGTTTTATTTGGTGGCTTGGTTCAATTGGGTTGATCATGGAGTGTGAAATGTTGATAAAATGGGAACATTTCCTTCCCTCTTCTAAAAGTAAAGCAAAAAGAAAGGGATGAGAAGAAGGCCACTATTACTGGGGATGAGGAAAATATCCTAACCACTGTCTGGTATGCAGAACAGGAATAAAAATATCACTTTTATAACCCAGCTAACCCAACATCACCTGACATTTGAGACAGATATACAGTGAGTTTGAATTATTCAGACTACTTCTGATGTTGATTTCTGACACTGAAAACACACACATACAGTTGTGTTACGCTAAATGCATCAAAGGACAATAATGATGGAAATACCATTTGGAAGCCTCAACTATAGATCTGATCTACTAGAAACTGCAATATTTTAAAATACCAGCACGATGGACAGGATTCCTTCCAGTCAGTGCTATGTTTTGCCTTTCTCCATATGCTACTACTTGTATTCAAAAATTTAATTTCTTAATACCAACTGTGCCGAATTAATAATCTCCAACATAGTAAATTTTCAGCTTTAAAGGGATGTTTAACCTAGCATTACACTGTACCAGCATTATTTTTAACTCAAGCTGTTGTTTTTTAGGTTTTTTTAATTCAAAACAATATGGTCTACACAAATGACACACACTTCCTGAAAGTCAAAAACTGCAAAGCAAACAGATGGAGACCTAGACTAAGAAAATAATTAGAATATCAGAATACAAAAGTTGCTCTTTGAATCCTAATTTACATGTAGGGCCAGATCCCAATATTTATCACACTTTAGAGCTCCTACATTCTTCCTGACTTTATTCTGCCTTCCACATCACACTGAACCTTGCTGTTAGGAGACTTTCATTCCAGCTCCACCTGTTCCACAGAGAATTATAAACACAGATTTTGGCCTCTGCTTTAAAATTCATTTCAACTGCTCCCTCATGAAGATGATCTTGTGTAACTGGAGAAGAAATCTCAAATCCTTGTGCTGGCCTGTGTCAGTGCTTTCTCTTCAGGAGAGCAACCCAAGTTAATGTTTAGGGAAAGGAGAATGGGCATTTGAAGGGAAGCAGAGCAGCCCTGCATTTAAGAGTATAGTGCTAAGAACTTGCAGCCCTCAAAGAACATCCCCTTGGGACATGAGAGCTCCTCCTCCCCACCCTCATGCTCTCCCTAGGGCAGAAAAGAGCATCAAATACTACACTGAGGAGAGTATGTGCTCAAGAGAGCTGAAATGTGATTTTCCATGGAGAAAATGCAAGAGGCAGAAAGCAAGTTCTGCAGCACAAACCAGACAGCTTTACACAGGGCTAGCACTGCTAAAAACTCCCCTCCCTCCTTCCCAATCAATACTCTGTATAGGAAAAGGTTTATGAAATTCTTCCCCCAGTGCACTGGAGGAGGAAGCAGATGACGGAGATTTCCTTAGATTTACAGCATAACTAGCATAAGGCTGTCCTTTCTGCTTCCACAAAATTATTGTTTTCTTCAAATTTTCTTCAATTTTTACTACTTTTAATTAATCTGTAACAAAATCAAAATTATTTTTACAGGAGTACTCAAGGATTTTGTTCCTATGATTTTTGTTCCTATGTACTGAGAGCTGGCATCTAGGGACACTCTAGATCTTAACTTGATTTAAATCATGCAATTAAAATGCAGGTTCAGTTTTCCAGGTACCAAAGGACTACAGTCTACATTCAGACAAACTCAGAAATCAGAGATATAGTAACTTATATAATCACTGAGGGCAGAGAGAGCCAACAAGAATCCTTCAGCATCTGTGGCTAATGCATCTCCAGTTCAAAACCTCAACTCTACAAACATTTACATATGAAATAGTTAATCATGCCAATGAAGTAAGCCACCAGTCAAAGTTATGCACACACCTAAACCTCTGTAGACTCAGGGCTTAAAAATTTAAGACAATACCTTTGCTCAGAGAGGAAAAACTAGTTTTATTGGAGCACTGTTATTCCTGAAGTTGTGTGTCATTCAACACCTGAAAGACTCTTCACTGAACTTGGAATTATTTATGGACCTTGTAAGTCACACAATTACACCTTGCTTTCAGTGGAAAAAAAGGAAAAATTAAAAGAAATCACTGCACTCCAATTGAATGGAAGAATAAAAAGACCTCTGAGATAGAAGATACAAGGAAAATCCAGTATTTCAGTACGAGGTAGGTCGCAGGAACTTGTTGCAGCATTGTTACAGATCACAACCTGAACTAGCACAAACAATGGCAGCAGGAGAGCTGAGGGCACACAGCCAGTGCAGAAACACGGAGGGTGGAGCAAGGAACCACTGTCTTCTCTCTCAAATATTCTCCTAAAATCACCTCCAAAGCATGAATTTTTCTCTGCCCCCAGTAGGAGAGATCATCCATGAAGGGATCGAGTATTTCTGTGAATAACTTTGACAAATGTCTAAATGACAGAGGTGTGAAGTTAAAAATCTCTAAATCTCAAATTTAGTATGCTTTAAGACAAAATGCCAATGACTACATTTAATGTGCTAGAGAGAATCATACATCCCCCTCCACCAACCTGTCTGTGCCTGTTACACTGAAAATGATTTGAGGATTACAGTGCAGTATTTCCAATTAACTGCTATAGTCACCTGACTTGTGCCTTGTACACAAAGCATGTGGGTTTGTTTGGTTCGTTATTTTTCTTTTGATAAAGACTGACCAAAGCAGAGAAATTCCTAGAAACAGCAACATTTGGAAAAGGTAACTGTTGTTGGTCTCACAGACCAGCTTGTTCAATAATGTTTACATATCAAGTATTACAAACCGAGTTAAGAATTGCTGTGGTGCAAGCTATCCCACATCTTACTATTATTCACACTTGCACTTTTATTTCAAGCATTTGGGACTGCTGGACATAAAATTCTGGTGTAAATAGATCATGATTTTTGATACATCATCATAATTCCTCCTCTCAGCCTCCTGGAACAGTGCATGGAGAGAGAAATACAAGTTTTGAAATACTCCTGCATTACTGCAAGTAGAAGGTACTTCATGGCAATTAACAAAAATATCTTCTCAGTGTTTAAGTGTTCAGTGTTTGCAAACTGTATTTTCATGGGCTTCTGCTACAAGTCTGGTTCAGATACAGGAGAAATTAATCACCGTGAGTGGGCACAAAGTTGTATCATCAACTAAATAATTATCCCATAATAGATGCATTTACTCTGGGACTGCTGGCACCCCGAATGATTAACCAGGGCTGGGACAGGGACATGTGTGTGGAGCCTCTGCAGAGAGCCTGGCTGGCACAGAGTCTGAGTCAGCAAGAAAACTGCACTGCTCTTCCCTAAGAGAGAAATCAGCACCATTAAACAGCAGCTAATAATCACCAGAGAGTGCTGTGTGTATCTCCACTCCTTTTGGGCAGGGCTGTTCCCAACAATATCCCAACTTTACACCCAGCACTGTCCATCTTGACTCTGTGGCTAATTATTTCACCAGAGCACAAAAAGCAGGCAAGAGCCTCCATGTTCCTGAAGGATCAGCTGGAATATTCTGGCTGTGTTGCTGTAAATTCGATTAGCACTCATCAAAGGCACCTACTGCAATAATTCCCAGAGAGCAGCTCACTGTTCTGGGGAAATGTTTACTACAGGGCAGTGAAACACAATCGTTTGCAGCAAGGCATGGCTGCCTGTGAGTTACTCACCGGAGGGAAATCGAAGTCTATCTGGTTTGCTAAATTTAAGATGTAGTCGATTCGAAACTGGTTCTCTGGATTGGCTAGTTCCACTGGAGGTGCCAAATTGCCCATTGCTGTCACTATTGTCTGCAAAGAAACACAAGTAAAATATTGCAGAGAGTGTCTAAATAGCCACCCAGAAGGGTTAAAAAAAAAATAGCTCCTAAGTTTACCTCTATAGCTTCTTTAATATTGTTTTTAATATCCTGAATTTTCATTTTCTTCTCCCTGTAATAAAAAAGGCACATCATTAAATTTATAAGCCACAAAAGCAGAATACCTTTTTAAAACAGAACATGAACTTGAAAAATATTCTATTAAAGCTGTATTGCCTAAAGTGCTTTCAGTCACTGAAGACTTTTGTAGATAGACTTATTTAAATATCTCAAAACTTTTCTACTTAAGCAGTAACATCTATTTGCATCTATTTTAAGCAGTAACATCTATTTGCATTCAAAAATCAATGTCTAATTATGCTTTAATAAAAACTTACTACAGCCTTAGACTGGGACTAAGACATTCTGCAGAATCAAACAGATTTTGATTCATTTGAATGCAAAATACTAAACATACGTGAAAGTTCTTTAGGAAAGTATACACTGGAAACAAACAGAAAGGAAGAAAGGGTGAGTTACTAAAAGCAGAAATAAATGAAAGGAGACCAAAGAACCTCAAAACATAAAAAAATTAAATCACAAAAATTATGCCTTAGCAGAACAAACCATAGCAGAGCACTCAACCTGACACAAGACATTGAAACAGTCTGGATGTGAAACAACAGTGAAGGATTAATCAAAGTATAGAGAATTATCCTTGGCTAGAAAAGCCCACTTGGAATGAGCACTATCATTTGGGATTAAGTGCAGTGGCATGAACCAGCCCAGCAGGCTGGAGCAGGACAGGGCAAACCTCTGCCTCTGCTCCTCTGGGCTGCATTTGGTGTCAGATCTGACAGCAGGGAAATTTCAATGCTCAACAGTGCAATCAAACCAAATCATGATCAAACATTTGGTGTAACCAGGAATTAGCACCTAAAAGTACAACTAGCACTGAGCCTGTAAACTGTAGCTTAATTGCAAAGACTGTGATAAAAATTTTCACATTAATTTCTTGCTGTAAACAGCATAAAATCACTGCTTTGAGGGAAACCAAGTTAGCCATGAAATTACTAAAAAAAGCCACCTAAACTGTCGAAGTGACCTTTTAATCTTCACTGAACTGCTTTACAGGACTCTCATTATGGAATATTTATACCAACATTTAATTTTTTTTTTCATTTTGAAAACTAACATTTTCCAGCACAGTGTCCCAAGGACTATGAAGTATCAACATAATTTCCTTTTTTTACCCTTTTAAAGATAGTAACTCACAGTTTCAGCTTACAGACCCCAGCTTTATGGAGTTAATTCACTAAGCATATTGCAAAAGCTTTTTATCACTTTATCCTTTCTATAATTACTCACAGTTAAAAACCAAAATGAAACTGAAAGTGTATTCACCAATCAAGAATGAAGAAGAATGGTAGGAAAAAAAAAAAAAGACTAATAAGAAGGCAAGACACTCCAGGAGTGGTGGGAATTTTGGCTATCAAATGAAAATATTGTTTATCTTTTGCAAAAGACAGTGTCAAGGAAAACACCACCATGCCAAGGAAGTGCCTGCACATTGCCCAGCTGTGACTGCAATGCCAGGGCTGCTCTGGCAGAGGGGCAGCAGCACCAAATCCTGGTGTTCAGGGTGACTCTGCTGCGTGGGGAACGGCTCTGAATCAGCAGCACAGCCCAGACATAAATGTGATTATCCCAAAACATCATCCTCACTGACCCCAGGTCCTCACAAGTTTGGGGCAGGGACAGGAAGGTCAGAGAAGCTTGATGCAGAGAGCAAATGGAATAATCAATACTCAGATGAAAATTCAATGTTTTCCTAGACTTCTTTACCTACCCACAGACCACCTGATTCCTGAAAATTACCCATTTGTGCTACAGAGATGTGGCATTGCTGATGAAAACAAGGCAGTGAGCCAAGAAAGGCCAAAGGCACCAAATTAAGGAAAATAGATTAGACAGGGTAAGAGAGAAAAAACTTTTCACCCTCCTCCTAACTTGTACAGCCCCAGGTCTTTACAAACTCTCCATTCCACAACCAGGATGCAGGGTGCACAAATATTCTGTTTTTCAGCAGTGTACATGTGGTTGCAAAGCCACCATCCACTTTCAGCTTTTAAAAATCATGTTTAATAATTAAAAAATGTAAATAATGGTATGAAAGCAGGAAGTGTTTATCAATGTCAGTGTAAGCAATTTGTCTGGCTTTTATTCTGCCTCCAAATTTCAGCTGGATCTTGAACTTAATGAACATGTATCCAGATTTTGCCCTGTTTAGATCAAAAGGGCAACTGATATGATGAAAGTCAAGCAAGACATCAGTACTTTTAAGGAATTAGCACTCATTTTGCTTTGGTTTGGAATATCACTAGAGAAAGAGAAGTTTAGGGAGTTTGCATTGCTTAGAAGCAAATTCCATTCTCTCTTCCCTGGAACGCTTGCTATTAATTGTCCCAAAGCATCAATGAGGTGCACATTGACCCGAGTCTTCCTTGCCATACTGATAAACCTTATTTTAATTAAAGATTTCAGTCAAACTTCCACATTTACACCTCCTGGCTGATCCTCTCACTACTAAGTGATAATGAACACAGAGAAATGTTAACCTGCAGCAATTAACAAAGTGCCTGATAACCATCATCATCCTTACAACGAGGATACTCATAGTTCCTATTTCTGGTGTTGTTGCCATGGCCCTATAGCCTGCCCAGTAAACAAGGAATCCCATTACACAGCAGTGGATGGATCACTGTGTTTTGTGTTTTGTAATGTTTACTGGACATAAACTTTCCATGACAATCAGACACTTTATTCTTCTGGAACTCAGAATGTTCATCAATCACCCATCCAACAGCAGCTTACAAACAACTCTAACTTCTCATAAAAAGCCCCAAAAAGGTGACACTCATTTTACTCAGGGACTAATGAGGTGAAGCACTCAAAACCAACATCCCATTGCTCTGCCAAATTGTCTTTTTTTTTTTTAGAAACCTGGCCAGGTTGCACCTCAAATTTCCAGAAGTATTCAAACTTTTCTTTTCCACAACCACAAAGACTGAATATTCAACTTAGAATCTTTCCTTTTTAATTTCTTATTCCCAGGTGCTGGCACAAAACCACAAAAGAAAAAAAGAAAAAAAAAAAATAAATCTGGGCTGCCAAAATGTTTTCCTCTGGAACATCCTGAGTAGTTTGGGAATGGCACCAATGCTCTCCTGGCCAAGGAATGACTGATGTCTCTGCAGGCCTGTTCTGTATCTTTAGATGTCATGGGTTAATAAGGTCATATTTTTAATCTTGTTTAAAACTTTTGCTTAGGCTGTGCAAGGTAGGCCAAACAAAGCATTAAACTCTATTAGTTGAGGATTAGAAGAAAAATCTCAAATCCTGCTGTTTTCAATATTTAAATGGGCCAAAGAAAAGCTGCACATAGCTTTCAGGAAAACTAATAAAGTCTATTTTAGGTACTATAAAAAAAGATGACATTTTAATTCAAGTAACATTAAATCAGAATGACATCAAAGGTCAGAAAAATCAAATATTCCTTGAAAACCAACCTAATCAGTATTTAGTAAAGAACTTCTCCACCTGTGATTGAACTTTACTATTAAAAAGGCAACATTTTTACTCAGACTATATCAAATCTTATGCAAAGAACACATAAACAAACACATTATCAGAAAGCAAACTAATTTAATTTTAATGTTCATTTCTGGTTTAGTTTACAGGATAATATGAATGACCGTTACTTGGAAAATAATATTGAAGTTTAAGAAGAACATTCCAGAGGATAAAGATTCAGTTCACCCTGAAACCTTTGGCATCTCCTAGGTAGAAAAATAATTTTAAATAAGGGTGCTGAAAATAATTAACAATAAAAGTTGTTAAACAATTAGGGGCATACAGAGATGGATGGACAGGGATGATAGGCACCTTTATGCCATTAATCTAATTCCTAAAAGCAAAGTTTGAATTTTTTGGTCAGTGCAGAGACGTAGGGAAACCTTGGAGATTTCTGCAGCTCAAAGAATGTATAGGCTATTTAATAGGGCATATTAAAATGCAGTCAGAGAGTGTTAATGCAGAGCCTTTGTCTCCTTTACAAGGCTGGGACTGGAGTAATGCATAAATTCCCTTTATTTCTGAAGCAGCCAAACTCTGCTGACTCTTGAAGCTGCAGCAGGGCAAGGCTTCCCTTCCCCAGGCAGGGCACTGCACTAAGGAGCCAATGTGCAAGTGCAAGAGCCAGAATGAAAAACCTCACAAAGCAATTCATTTGCCTCTGACTTTTTATGGTAGAAAATGACATTGTTGTGCTTCACACAGGTGCATCTCCCTGCTTTTTCCGGTATTGCCAACAAATGTGAATGCCCAGGGAAGCAGCCACAGGCTGTCCCCTTCAGAAGCCCATCAAATACACACTGACAGCCAATGAAAACTTAATAGATCCATTTTGTTTTAAAACACAACTCAGTTCTTTGACAGGCAGTCATGCACTTCACAAACACATGGGATTTAAACATGCCTATTCATCTAAATAAAGTGTCTTTGATGCAGTGAAACATGCTGATGGATTTAATAAATATTCCAGAAAATCTGCATTAAAATTTATTTACTGAACCTTATGGAAACTAAGAGCAGTACCTGCCAATCCAGCTCAGAGAAACAGAGCTGTGCAGTCCAGATCTTCAGACACAAGACCACGAGCAAGGAAATTCAATTAAGGTTTTGCTACCAATCCATGTTACAAAAATCGTGCAGTACTTTACAATTCAACTAAAAGATAAATTTGTTTCAGCCTGGGTTATTTCTAACAGAACATGGCAATTACCTCAAATGTAACAGCTAGAACAGCAAAGAGGGCAGAGGCCAAGTTAGAGGCACTTGAAAATGGGGAAAAACAGTTGCCCAGAGTATTCGGAGTGAAGCTGAAATAATTCATCTTAGACCTGTGACAAAGGACCAATTTTACAGACAAAACTACTAAAATGCAAGAGCAAAACCCACTATGTATCTTCTGCAAACTCAACAGCATTGATATCACACTGCTCAGTGTTCTGCCAACTTCAAAGGGATTTTTCAGGTCTGTTCTGACAAACCCTTGCAGTGCCATGGGACAGT